TCCTCTCTCTCAAACGYATTCTAATATTTTCCGCCGCGTTGTAAATATCAAAGATCATCGTTCCGGTCAGAATCTCTTGCAGGACAATACCAAAGCTATACACATCGCTCTTCTCCGTTAGCCTTGAAGTTAAAATAAGTTCAGGATCTACGTATCCCGGAGCACCCATCACCGCCGTTGTTGTGTGTCTCGTCGCATCATCTTCTGTTGTTAGTAGGACACTTGTTTCACCCAAGGGAATCCATATTGATGATTCGAATCCGAAAAGACTGGGAAAATATCTTTCATCCAAGAGAATATTAGAAGGTTTGATATTCGCGTGGATGATAGGCCTACCAGCTGCTGTGTGGATATAGGTTACCGCATCAGCAATCTTCGAGACAATCCTTAGCCTAGTCTCCCATGGCAGTAGCTCATTACCAGGCGTAGAAGGATCGTTGTCATCGATGTAAATATGATCGGAGAGAAATCCAATGGAGCAGGCAAATTCGTATACGTGGATGGGGAAATTGGTGGTCTTCGAGCTGTAACCGATCAGTTCCAACACGTTCTCGTGATACAACTGGGTTAGTATGGTCACTTCGTTTATACTCGCTTCCCGATGGATTGCCGCATGGAATTTCTTGACCAAAACTGGACGGCCTTCGTGGGTTCCTCGATACAACTCATGACTACCTGTTCGACAGATTTGATAACGCCGGTCATAGTTTTTGGTCGCCCTTTCGAGCTCTTTGGCAGAGAATATGCGGATGGGATTGTACTCTGCATTATGATCAGTGATCGATTCTTCCTCCGGGTCACTTCGATGGTTCAGAAAGAATTTCTCCTCCTCTTCCTCTTCCTTCTCCACCGTTTGTATCTTTTCTCTTCCCCACAAGAGAGGCATATCCTTACCTGATTAAAAGAGAACCAGAAAAAAGTAATGGATTAAACTCTCAAACAATTTTTTTTGACGATCTAAAAAGCAGTTTTAACAGAAAACAAAAAGAATTAAAAAGCTAAAGCAAAACTTACAAGCAAACAATACTTTTGTATCTAGCAATCACTATTTCTTCCGGGATGTGTATTAGAACTCATTAAAATCGTTACCTAATGGAGATGGATAACTGCTATTAACAGGTAAACATGGTACTCGATACAGGAGAGCTATTCAGATTTTCAACGCCCTTTCCTCTGGTTCTTAAGCTACCGCACTGATGTTTGCTCTTATATTATAGATTTTTCTTTTTTTCATCAATTCTCCCTCTGGAATACGAGTAAAAACGGCATTTTGACAAAAATAAGAGGCCTTGAAACATGTAGATTAAAAAAAATTACTAAAAATAAAAAATAACAAAGATCACCCCAATCATCAAGTACAAAGTTATGATCTACATTGTAATTCATGACCCATGACCGAACGATTGATTTGAACGTGTCAGTGGTTCAATTGCTCGGATTGCCTGCTCTTTGATCAACAGTTTTTGATGAATTATTGCCATTACTATATATCGACTCTATCCTTACCAACAGATAGTTAAATTATTTGCCATTACTACATTGTCAACTCTATCCTTACCAACAGACAGTGTCTATATTTTAAAAAAATAAAGGTGGATTAATTGGTAGGATCTCTGACTTCCTTGAGAATTTAGGTGTTGATTAGGTGTTTACGGAAGCATGAATTATATATACATCAGAGGATTGTAAATTAAGAAATGCATACAATATAAAACATGTTACTAGTTGATTGGCATCTAATGTTATTTGAGTTAAGTGGACGAGCAATAGATAAAATGTTTTGATGAGTTGGATGAGCAATAGATAATATGTGATTAGGTATTTATGAAAGCATGAGTTATATATATATCAGAGGATTGTAAATTAAGAAATGCATACAATATAAAACATGTTACTAGTTGATTGGCATCTAATATTGTTTAAGTGGACGAGCAATAGATAAAATGTCTTGATGAGTTGGATGAGCAATAGATAAAATGTTGATTAGGTCTTGATGAGTTGGACGACTTGAATTAGATAATCTGATGACTTCTGAGGTGGTTTCCTGAGGAGTATTCCAATCTTCAGGTTAGTGAAGTGAAAAGAAAAATCAGGTTGAATAGACCAATCTGTATAGATGAGCTAATAGTAAAGTAAAGTAGTTCGGAGAGCAAGAGAGATAGAATATCAGAGAGAGAGAGAAAGGAATATACCTTGGGTGCCTTTCCCCTAAATGCGTGTGGGTAAGTGCCTGAGGTTCCAAGAGTTGGTTCTACACCCTTCGCGCAAGAGGTTTGCACCCTAAGGAATGTCGGCGTCTAGCCAGTGTTTGCCACATGCCCCTTTTTGTCTGAGGTCTGCAGCATGCATCGTTGTTAGGGGTGAGCATTATTCGGTTAAAATCGAATAATCGAATTAAAAATTTCAGTTTCGGTTTTTTCATTTTGATTTTTTAAGTTTTTGGTTAATTCGGTTCGGTTATTTTGGTTTTTAGAATTAGAATTTCAGTTAATCGAATTAATCAAATTTTTTATTATTATATGTAATATATAATATGTAATATGTAACATATAATATATAATATATTATATATTTATATATTAATATATAATATACTGAAATTTGATTTCATAATATATATTTTATAGTATATAATATATAATATTTTCGGTTTAAACCAAAAATTTTGATTTCGGTTTCGGTTTTTATTTGTTTAGTTCAGTTTTTAAAATTTCAGTTTATTTGGTTCGGTTTTTAATCGAATACTCACCCCTAATCGTTGTCCCCTTCTCCATATGAAAAGTGATATCGTGCCAAGTCATCATTCTCTACACCAACCACACTACATTTCTCGGTTAGGTGTCGTCCATGCCATCATCTATATGGTGGTTCATCAACTAAGGCAGTCCATGCCTCCATAACTTGCCCTATAGTTCGAAAGTTGCGGAGTGAGGTGTTCGATAGCTGTTAGGAGGATGAGTTCTTTACGGAGATATGATCATATCTCCGTCCCACAACACCCCACAATACATCCCTGCCGTGTATTGAGAACATCATAATGACATTATCAGGACTAATACATCATCGAGAAATGTTCTCAATACATAGCGGGGATGTTTTGAAAGTCATGCACAGGGATTTCAAAATTTAAATTTTCATACCGAGGGACATTAAATCGCAACACTTCATCTTCCAAGCTCACATGCATAGGACATCATTTGGAATTTTGGATTGTTGATCATAAATCATCTGAGCCATTAGTTGTCCTTATAAAAGGGGAGGAATAGAATCAATCGCCTTTGTCATTTAAGAGAGAGCGCCTAGCGGAGTTCAGCTTTGGTCCTCATCTATGAATACTCTTGACTTTACTATAGACCTCATTCCTAGTACGTGTTTCTCCATGTCTTCGTCTTTGTGTTCCTTACACTCGGGATATAGATAGCAAGCAGAGCTATGTGTCACCTAGCCAATAGGTGGTTGAGGTAGTAGTCCTCGAGACTGATGCCAATTAGGTTGAGGCTGAGGTGGACATCCTCATAATCAAATATGAGGAAAATGACCATAAGGAGATAGACGAGGATTTCATCACCTCGGCTGAGATTGAGGTAGAGGACTACACCAAGGAGGTCAAAGAGGTCCTAGCTCGGGCCCCAATTGGTCTTGGTGACACCCCTTATTCCTTGTTTGAGGGGGATGTGTGGAAGATTAGGGAGCAATACTTTATCCCCTAAAGTATGAGCTAAGATTTCCAAGGAAGCGAGGGAGAGGGCTAACTCACCTTGTCTGGGTGAACTCTACATATACGAGGACAATCTCAGGGCTGGCCTCAAGCTTCCCTTGGATAAGGGGTTAGTAGTTGTGTTGAGGGACTACCATGTACTACTCGTCCAATTAGTGACCTACTCTTTTCAATACATGGTCGAACTCCTCTGCTTTTATACTATCCACAACCTACTGATGATCTTCCCTATCTTCTATACTCTTTTCTCTCTAAAGAAGAATTAGCAAAGGGATATTATTATTTCTCTACCTAACTGAACTTGAAGGCACTCTTCAGAGCCCCCTCCTTAATCAACGATTGGAAAGGGAGGTTCTTTTTTGTAAGTGTAAGTAGAGGTGGCAATTTTTCAACCCAACCCACCCGCTAACCCGCCCAACCCAACCATTAGTTGGTGGGTTGGATTGTATCCATTTAGTCCCGGGTCTGGTGGGTTGGGCAATCCAACAAGGGAGGGGCTTAATGGTTTGGGTGGGTTGGGTCATGGTTATTGCTCAACTCACCGATCCTTGATGGTGACAAGTATAGAAACCATGCATCAATTAAAACAACAAAGCTATATAGAAATCAACGTATACAATTGACGCGGCCAATATAGTAATAAAATATAGACCGAGTTTTTAGGGATGGATACATTTGGCAACCTAACTGAAACCAATATAGGAAAGAAACAACGCGTCAACCCAATCCTAACTCCAGCTCAACCCAAACCAAGTAGGTTGTGCTGGGATAAGGGTAGCAAGCTCAACAACTTTGGGTTGGGTTAGGGACGATTTCAACTCGGCCCGCCTAGCATCCCTCTACTGTCAATGTAGGCTTTTGATTTTCCATGGAATCATGGTTTTCAAAGGTTTCGTCACCTTTTCCTTTTTTTTCCTTACCTTTTACTTTAAATAAACATAGTCTAATTGTGAAAGATTGAAGGAAAAGTACGGATGGGGACTACAGCCGATAACCATTAGGCACGCTTGGGTTGATTTGAGTATTTTTTTCAACCCATCCAACCTAGTTGGTTTATTCGTTGACTAAACCGAAATCGATTGACCTTGAAGCAAAACCGATCCTAACATGAAGGGTAGATTTAGCGGTTTAGTCGGTTTTCATATATGTTTTAAACTATAATATCTATATCTAAATATTGATTTATATTTAAGTTTATTTTTGTTTAGTTTTTATGCAAAACCAAAATATATATTTAAATCGACTAATTTTTTATGCAAAACCATGGTTCAAAGTATCGATAGAGGCATATCGGTACTTAGATACACAAGGAATTAGCTTTTTAGTTTTTTTTTTTTCAAATTTTGGTTTTTGGGGAGTTAAAAAAAGGTGGTTTTACGTTTTTAGTTTCTATCATAAATAACCGTTTTTTTTTTAAGTTCAAACAAAATACAAATAAAATATATCAACATTTAACATATAGGGACTAAGGTAGGGACTAATTAATAAATACTTAAAAATATAGGATTGGTTTGACTTCAGTTTTCGTACATGAAAACTGAAACCAAACCAAATTGTCGGTTTATTTTTCCATACAAATTGGAACCAACCAATGATTTTAAAAAACCAACCAACTCGGATTGGATCAAACCGGTTTAATCGATTTGATCGATTTAACATTTAATGTGAACACCCCTAATTAATAACTATTACAGATAATGGAGTTCTTTGTCTTTGGGACTGCAGAGGATATCAAAACAGGATTTAATAATAGGATAAAACCGATATTTCATAATTTTCATTGTGATTTAATAATAATAATAGCAATTGTTAGAAAACTTAGACAATATTTAAATAATAAAAGTAGAACTAATCAATTAAATAAATATCATCTAAACTATGGGCAAGGGAATGCTGTGACCATAATCGCAACCTATGTGTTGTATCATCTATGCTTTTTATTTTTGATGATGAATTAATTGTGTTTAGGCCTTAAAAAAAATAATTGTATTTAGTGAAAGCTTTAATGAAAAGTACATATAGGCAAAGGGAAAAGGAAAATGGAGCTGCTGGATTGTTACAAGTCAACTTATAATTGATATTATATATTTTAATCAATTAAAAAGGACAGCTTATAATTGATTAGTAATGTCTTTCTTTAAAAATAAAAAAAACTGAATTAAATGCTAGTCAAAGCTTTACAAGAAAAAGTAAAAATAGAAAAATCTTTACAAAACTTATATAGGTAAAAATCAAACATAACCTTAAGGAAAAGTAGACATGACTCGATATAGATTTCTGAATACAATAAAAGTGAAAAAGGAAATGGAACTGCAGTATAGTTTCCGATGAGTTATTCCAAGTCAACTTCTAATTGATGTTATTTCAGATGAGATCTTTAATCAATTTTTTTTTAATGCTTAGGTAGTTAGGTCTAATATGATCTGTATTGTTTATTATTATTATTATATTCGATGACAGCCATAACTCCACCTAACACAGCAAGTGAACCACCCCCTCACTTGGCAACAAGGTCTGGTTGGTAGCTTGCATCTGTCAAAAATTTAAAAATTTGCAAGTTGCAATTTGTTCAATTCAACCTTAAAGTTTAAGGCTTAGCTTGGCTTGAGGTGATAATTTATTGTTTTTGTCAACAGATTTAGGCCCAGTTAGTCCAACCTATATATATATATATATATATGCATATTTACAAATATGATATATCATGTAATATGAAATATTATCTCTAATTTATACTCTTTTTTTAATTCTAAATCAGCTTTAAATTTCACGGATGAAGCAACCATTCACGAGGAGGTGCCCTCTTAATTTCAAGAGTTTGAGACCTCTGGTATTCCAAATGTTCGGAAGGATTTTTTTCTATTGTATGTGACATTTAGCATTCCAAACATCCTAAACATTTTTCTGGGTTTCATCTAGAAAGGCACCATCAATTGTCAGGTAAAAGCTTTTTCATGGCCGTTTTCAAACAATTGAGTTCTTAGATATATCATTTTCAAACTGTTGTGGTTATTTTTCAATCCACTGACTATTCTCTTCTCCACCTGGCTATGTTTTGGAGATGAAGGAATCAAGATTAGTGCATTTTGGAGTTGAGAGGGAAGGAGATCGATGTAGCGTTTCTCTGATACAGCAGGTAAGCAAACTTGACAATTTCTTTTTTTTCTTTTACATAGAAAATAGTGAATCCTGAGGGGTGTCTGAAAACAACAACATCTACTATATTATCAAAATTAAATTGTTTTTCTGATGTGACAGTTATTTTTATTTTCCAAAACAAGACCCACCTGAAACACCCTCTTAATCTATTACTTTGGATGGGCAACCTAATATTCAAAACCAAATTAAAGTGGTGTATATTGAGATTAGGGCTGTCAATTGGACTGAATTTGGTCCAATCCGAACCAGTCCAATGCGAGGCTATTATAAATGGATCAGGTCCAATCCAATCCTATGAATGTTTTGGATCAGTCCAATTCAATGTCTAGGCCGTCCAATCTGTTTAAATTCATTTTGATTCAGATTGGTTTCAATCCAAATTCGGTCCATTGATACATATATTCTTATCTTATATCAATGAATCAGATATTGACTTAATCCAATTCAATCCAATATAAATTTGTTACGGACAGATCAGGCCCAATCCAATCTAATAAATATTTTGGACCCGATTGGTCCAATCCAATATATCTTGTTGGTTCGTCCAATCCATCCAAATTGATTTTGGATTGGACAGAGCTGCAATTGTGTAAGCTTTGCAACTTTCTTGTGCTGTTTCAATAGCCTAGGAGCTTTTACATGTAAGGAGTTATAATCCTAGTTTCGTCATAAACAATCTAAAAAATTATAGTGGAGAGGTTCTAGAAGTGTCCTCACTTCAAAAAAGTGATTAATGAAGGAGAGGAAGTTATATATAGAAGAATATAATACAACATAAGGGGGGAAGAAAACAGTAAATAAGTATGTAAAAGCAAAGTACTTTTATAAAAGTATTTTTACACGAAGCCACTTTTATAAAAGTAATTTTATGAAAAGTACTTTTATGAAAGTATTTTTCCAAAAATAAAGTATTTTTATAAAAGCACTTTTACAAAAATACTTTTATATGAAAGCACTTCTATGAAAATACTTTTACGAAAGCATTTTTATAAAAGCATTTCTATGAAAAGTACTTTTATGAAAGCACTTTTATCATAGTTCTTTTATAAAAGTACTTTTACAAAAGTGCTTTTATTCATTTACTTTGGATTGAATTGGACCCAATCCGGTCCATTTCCTTTTTAATTGGACTGGACTGGATTGTAGCAGGTGTTGTAGTTTTTTTTATATATTTTTTCTGGATTTCTCATGTTATGTAGGTGTTTGATTCAATTTGTATTTGATTGGAACCAATCTGGTCTATTTGCATTTTGTTTGGAATAGATTGGGCTTGGTTTGTATGGATTTGGTCTATTCCATTTGCAAATGGACCAATATTAGATTGGACCGGATTGGACCAAATCCAATCCAATTGACAACCCTACCGGTAAACATCTATGCTGATGATTTTGGAGACCTAGGCCAGTGGTTTATGACTGCTAACACATTTTTTTTAAGAATAAAAATGAACAACATAAGGCACTTGTTAGTTTGAAAAGAATTCATTTTTTAAGAAAAAATGTTTGATTTATAGCAATATTTTCTCATTTTATCCATTTTCACTCATTCTTGTCCATTTTAAAATTTCATTTTGGACAAGAATGAGAGTTGATATTTTGGGCAAGAAAGAATTCCATTTTAAAATTTATAGCAAAATTTCATTTTAAAACTTCATTACAAATCTTTGCGGTTAGCACATGGTAAAAGCTACATCAAGTAAATTGCACAAAAAAAAAAAAAAAGAAAAAATCTATCTTCAATACAAGGGCTTGGACATGATGATATGAGTTCCAGAATTTCACATCAATTTCGGGCCCACCTTGGTCAGCTCTTGCTACAACTCAATCACAAGCACAAATAATTAAGGAACTTCTAGCCCATAGAAGCAACCCATTTTCGTCGACGACCAATTCCTCCAAACTCCAAAGATTTTATAGACCAACAAACCACAAGCCCATCTCCTTCTGGACCCATGAGGCCCATGCACATCTGAATCTATGTCAGCACTCAGAATACCCCATGTTAAAATCAAAACCACCAGGCAGATCCCGACAGTATCCAATCCACACTATGAAACCAAAAGAAAAAATCCCAAATGCGCCCCACCGTACTCCCCTCATCCCAACCCACCAATAGAGGTGTCAATTGGATTAATCCTATCCAAATCCAATACAAATTAAATCAAATCCAATCCATTAATATTTTAATGGATTGGATTGGATCCAATTCAAAACGAATGAAATATAAAAAATTATATAAAAGCATTTTTGTAAAAATATTTTGATAAAAGCATTTTTATAAAAGTTCTTTTACAAAAGCACTTTATTGAAATTGTAAAAGTATTTTTATAAAAGTGCTTTTGTAAAAGTACTTTGTATAAGTGCTTTTGTAAAAGTATTTTTATAAAACTATTTCTGTAAAAGTGCTTTCATAAAAGTACCTTTGCAAAAATGCTTTCGTAAAAGTATTTTTATAAAAGTGCTTTCGTAAAAATACTTTTCATAAAATTACTTTTATTAAAGTGATTTTGTAAAAGTGTTTTTGTAAAAGTGATTTATTGCTGGCTTTATTTTTGATTAATTTCAAATTGGACAAAGGTTTGGCCTCATGATCGGATTATTGAAAATTTGGTTTAGGTCCAATTCAAACCAATAAGAATATGAACCAATTTATTTTGAATTAACTCAATCCAATAATTAGAATGAACCATCCAAATCCGATTTGATAAGGTTTGGATTGGATTGAATCAAACCAAAATGGGTCGATTGACACCCCTACCCACCAGGTCCATCCCCAAGCCCTCAAGCTCACCAAAGCCCAACCCACTCCATCTAATTCCCATTACTAAACCCAACTACACATCCAACCCACCAGTCCATCCCCATATCTACACACTCATCCATTACGTCCCATGCTTGTAAAACATGTAGGGCTGCAAGTCAGGCCGGGTTAGGTCAGGTTGAAGCCAACCCTATTCCAACCCTATGTTTTAAACCCCCAACCCTAACCCTAACCCAACCCGACCTACCCAACCCTAACACTAACCCTAACTAATTCCTTCAACCCTAACCCAACCCGACCCAACCCAATGTCAACTTCGGGTTAGTTGGGCTCGGGTTGGGCCCAACCTAACTTTCTCATCCCTTAAAATCGAGTAGAAAATAAGTATTTATTTCTCATAAGTTATGACTTATGATAGAATTTTTTTCTCAAAAATATAAATTCATGAAATCAACAATAATGAAACATAAAATTATGGAAAGAAAATCACTAACAACAACTCATAGGATCAAGCAAATAAATTGAATCTATTTGATAGATAACACATAAAAATTATAAGATAAAAGGAAAAGACAAGTAGTCAAGTACCTCTGGATAACTTAAAGAAAGGCATGATAGTATGTATGTAGGGGGGCTATACAATTATCATGCCTCTAAACAAATCAGTGTATATTATATGTATATGTGTATGTACATGTAGTAGAGTTGTAGACTAGTAGACTAGTAGTCTACTACTATAGGGGGTCGGGTTCGGGTTCGGGTTGGGTCAGGTTGCCCAAGGGGTCAACCCTAATCCAACCCGATCATCAACCCTAACCCTAACCCGATCATCAACCTGGCCCAACCCATCCCGACTTTTTGGGGTTGGGTTTGGACCAACCCGGCTCAAGTTGCAGCCCTAAAAACGTGTACAGACATTCAAGACAAGTTCGGACCAACATCAAAATTTTCTCCAAAATAGAGTCCTCAATAAAATCAAAGAAAATATTAAAAATAGGAATAATCCATGTAAAATTGTCAATTACCAAGATGTGATCTGCTAAACCAAATAAAGCAAAATTCCATTGATAAACAGGTTAAACTAGACTAGGTAGAGGCTCCAAAATAATAAACTAGAATTGGTGAAAAGAAAATTTTAAACATATGCAACAAATCGATGATGAAAAGAAAAAACAAACAAGGATGCATTTTCAAAAAAAAACAAAACCCATCAATCACTAAGAAAGGAAAAAAAAATGAAACATAAAATGCAAAACCTAGGCTAAGAAATAGTAGAATCTACTAATACAAGAAGAATGAGTTTTTTTTTTTATTTGAAAATAACAAGAAAAATAAGTTATAATTGAAGCAAGCATACTAACAAAACAAATCATATCATATACTCAAGATGCTTGGAAGTCAAACATAGGAACAAAACACCATCAAAACCTGTGGAAAGCAAGCTTAATAACTTAAAATTGAAGCACATGCAGACCATGAACTACAAGAATCCATAAAACCCTATATCCAATGCATCAAAACCTGCCCAAACAAACAAGAACAAGTTAGCAATCAAGTAGTAGTAAACATACAAGAAAGTGAGAAAAATAAAACAAAGGAGACGATACAACATAAAATCCTACTCGATCATAGAAAAAAAAGAAAACCAAAAAATCTAAAACCCTCAACCGAAAATGGCCAACATAATGGTACCAAACTACAACAAAGAAAAATAAAGAGAACACATCTGTCATAAACTGTAACACAGAAAAAACTTATCTATCCTTTCTCATTCTAAAATACCAGCATGCTTTAAACAACATCACATAGAAAAGGAAACAGAGAAAGCAGATGATTCAATGTTACTTAAACACCCAAAATTCCTAAAACCCAGAAATGTAGAAGAGCAGTGATAGATACTTCAACCAAGTGGAGGTATCATGACAAAAGGTTGAGATCGACGCTATCAGAACAAAAGATAAAGCCCAAACGACAGGTGAGAAAGCAAAGGGATAAAACAATCGGGGACAAGTTTTGTGGAGTGGCAAACAGGAGAATAGCATATGCGAGTAGTTGAGGAAGAAGTAATACAACTCTTGAGATAAAAGATCTCAGTCATCTGACTTTTTTCAAGAGAAATATGAAAGAATGAATCATTCAAATGTCAGATGGGTGATTCCAATCAGTTCAGATCAGGTAGGCACATAATTGTAAGGACGTTTAACAAGTATTTAGAAAATTTTTTAACACCTTTCCCTTAAAATACCCCCAGCCTACCCTTGAAAAAGATTAGAAACAATTTTTAACAATTGTTAGAATATTTATTAAATTCTTATTTAAACGTGATTACTATGTTGTGCCTACTAAATCCAGTCCCAATTTAAATCCCAGCCATGTATTATCTTAAAAAGTTGATTGCAGAACTAAAAAATTATAGGGATAATTTGAGTTCAATCTCTCTCAGAATTCCTAATGCGTTAATACAATTAGGGTTAATGTCAAGCTGAATAAGATTTCCAATTAATGAGGGATGGTGTGTATAAGGGGGGAATAAAACAAATCTGAGGAGTACTGAACTCTAAAAACGTAAAAAATTTTAAGATAATTGATGAGTTTTTACACGTACATTTCGCTCTTCGTAATAGCAATAGACAGAGCCATTCTTCCCATTTGTTTTTGTTGTAATACACGTCTCAGTCAATGTGAATATCCCATGTTCTCTTTTTCTCATTGGGATTGCTCTCACGTGCAGCCGTGCATCGATCTACTTGCACAAATAAATTCCATTTTGGACATGTTTTGGTTCATTGCTCTTGAGTTTCATTCCATTGTGACAAGAACGAATAGCATTAGATCGTTTGGTGACAAAATTCTTTCCATGGGTATCATTCTTTTCAGAATAAAAAATCTGTCCATAACACAAAATTGAGGTTGCATGCAACAAGAGAAATAATCATGCCCCATTTTGTTTATTTTCATTCTTTAAAAAAATTCTATACCAGCGATCATAAACTGCTGGCATAAGTCTACAAAACCACCATCATAAATGTTTATTGGTAAACTGCTGTATATACTTAAGCCAATGGGCATTGACTGCCACCCATCCACCAGTAAATATTATGCGGACATTTTTTTAAACCTAAGTCAATGGTTTATGATCACTAACATGGTATTTTTTTTAAGAATGAAAATGAGCAACATGGGACACTTGCTAATTTGAAAAGAATTAAATTTCTTTTAGTAGTTAAAAACAATACACCGATAACTGTCCAAATAGGTGATAACATGTAGAGGGACTCCAGTCCACATCTGAGCCACCACTCAATTGTTTCATAGCAATGTCTTCTAATTCTACTCATTTTTACCTATTCTTATTATTTTAGAATTTCATAATAATAAGAATTAAACATGTTTTAGCGGCCAAATGCCTTCTGGTTAAATAAATATGTATATATATATATATATATATATAAGATTCTTATGCTTACAAACTTGTTGAATTGTTTTTGTAATGGGTTGATATCCTTTTTATTTTTCTTTTACAGATGGCTGATAACTTGTAAATTCTCCACGAAGGCTGACTTGGGAGCATTGTTCTTTTCCCCACCAATTACCAAAGAAAAGAATTCATTAATACAGGGGCACACAATCTTGCAAAATCTTCTCTAGTTCACGGAAGAAAGAAGAACAGAATGGCCGATCCGTTTACCTGCAAGGTTGCTGAGGTAATCCTGACAAGGGTGATCTTCCTTGCAACCAAAGGGATTAATCTCACGAATGATTCAAGGGAACATTTTAATAATCTGAAAATGAAATTAGAAACGATTCAAGGCGTGCTACAAGACGCCCAGAATCGACAAACAATGGAACATAGAGTCGGAAATTGGTTGAAGAAGGTTCAGGATCTAGCTTATGATGCTGAGGACATGCTGGACGAGTTCACAATACTAATTCAGCAACAAAAAACGACGATGACCAGGAAAGACAAGGTACGCAACTTCTTTTCGACCATCAGTCCGGTTGCAGCTCTCTTTAAGATGGCCGATAGAATTAAGAGCGTAAGTGAATCTTTTGACAATCTTGGAAAGGAAGCGACTATCATGCGGCTTGTGCCTACAGACGATGAGACTGTTGAAAGTCGAAGAACCACCCATTCCATGGTAGAAGAATCAGAAGTCTTTGGAAGAGATGGTGACAAAACGAGGATCGTAAACCTTTTAATTAACCCAGATGATGGAAATAAAGCTATTTCGATCCTCCCCATCGTAGGTATGGCTGGACTCGGGAAGACCACCCTCGCTCAAGTAGCATTCAACAATGGCGCGGTAGTAGCACATTTTGATGAACGTATGTGGGTTTGTATCTCGGTAGATTTCAACATTGAAAGAATTTTAAAACAAATCCTAGAAAGCCTTGGAGAAATGAATGTCTTATCAAATCTGGATGTGATGCTCCGTAGCCTTCAAAGTAAGTTGATGGGAAAGAAATTCTTGTTAGTACTGGATGATGTCTGGGATGAATATCGGAGCAATTGGAATACGTTAAGAGGTTTCCTGTTGAAAAGCCAAGCAGCAAGAGGGAGCAAAATTATTGTGACTACAAGCAAAGATGAGGTTGCGAAAATCATGGGCACACTTCCGACGCATCACTTGGGACTATTGTCAAAAGAAGAGTGCTGGTTAATTTTCAGCAAAAGAGCATTTGCTGAAGGATCAGCAGCACAAGAGACTCCAAGACTGATCGAAATAGGAAAAAAGATGGTAGACAAATGCAGAGGCCTACCTTTAGCAGCAAAGGCTCTTGGAAGTCTGATGTACTACAAGCAAGAGGAAGAGTGGGTAGCTGTCCAAACAAGTGAAATTTGGGATTTATCAGAGGCTGAATCAGGTGGAATCTTACCAGAATTGAGGTTGAGCTATGACCATTTGCCATCCAACATAAAGCAATGCTTTAGGTATTGTTCTGTGTTTCCCAAGGATTACGAGATCGATAGAATGATGCTTATTCAGCAGTGGATAGCACACGGATTCATAGGCTTTCAAGGGTCATCCGGTCAAGCTGCAGCTATCAAAGAAATGGAGGATATCGCTAATGACTCGTTCAATTACTTGCTGTGGAATTCTTTCTTTCAGGATGTAAAGAAAAATGAGTATGGAGACATCGAAACAGTGAAGATGCACGACCTTGTGCATGATCTTGCACAACATGTTTCCAAGGCTGAATGCTTGTCATTTGTCGAAGACGATGAGGTTAATGACATTACTATTACAACTGATGTTCGGCACTTATCTGTGTATGCTCCAAAATTACCGAAGTTACTGAATGTCTCAGTATCGTATGAGGAAAACAAGCTTCGAACTTGCCTTTTGTGGCTTAATTTTGATGATCTTATGAATGTTTCCGACTTACTTGAAGGTTTTTCTGTTGACAGGCTTTTGAAATTTAAGTGCCTGCGTGTATTAGATTTGGTGGGCATCACTCAGTTGCCAGCATCATTCCAAAAGTTGAAATTACTAAGATACCTTGACCTGTCAGAAAATCAATGTGAAAAATTACCGGAGTCAATCACCACTCTCTACAATCTACAGACGCTAAGGCTCAAGAATTGCAGGAAGCTTAAAGTGCTTCCCATGGAGATGCGGAAGCTCGTTAACTTGAGGCATCTTGATCTATTCGGATGTATTAACTTGGAAAAGATGCCAATGGAGTTGGGGAAATTACTTTGCCTCCAGACATTACCCATGTTTATAGTGGGTCGGGACAATGGACATGGTATTGAAGAGTTGCAAAACCTATTAAACCTAAGAGGTTTATTAGCAATTACAAATCTAGAGAATGTGAACGATGGAAGAAGAGCCAAGGATGCAAAATTAGAAGACAAGCTTTACATCCAGAGATTGGATTTGGAATGGTGCAGGGCATGCGATATCAACATTCATCATGACGTGGATTATAATGATGTGCTAGAAGGTCTGGAACCTCACCCAAATTTGAAGGGGTTGCAAATTAGTAATTTTGGGGGCAGTAGATATCCTGGGTGGATGAGAGAGATTGAATCATTTCTCCCCAATTTGGTCGGAATAGCACTAGATGGATGCTGGAGATGGGAAAATCTTCCCATGCTTGGCCATCTACCATTGCTTAAGATTCTTGAATTACGCCGGATGATGTTTAGACGTATCCAGTTCCATGGAGACAACAGTAGCAGTGATGATCGTGGTGGCAAGCAAGCAACAACAAAACAAATGTTTCCATCATTGAAAACCTTGTGGCTGACAGACATGCCTATGTTGGTGGAGTGGATGGAAGCTTCTACCTCTTCTTCTTCCTTTTTCCCTTGCCTCGAGAAGTTAATTATCAAGAAGTGCGCCAAGTTGAGAGTCACACCAGATTGTCTGCTTCCTTCTCTCAAGAGACTAAGGATTGAATCCAGCAATGCCATGTTGCTATGTGAAGGATCATTTGCAGTCGAACTCACCTCTCTTACTTCCCTTCAAATAAGCAACTGTGAAAAGCTTGAGGTTCTGCCGGAATGGTTGCTAGAGAATAATAAAAATTCCCTCCGCCATTTGAGTATCATGAAATGTCCCAAGTTGGAGGCTATTCCCAGGGAAAATTTACAAGTCCTCACATCTCTCAAGACATTGAGGATAACTGATTGCCTATCTATGCCAAATATTTTATGCTTGGATGATCTTCAAATGTTGAGATTGGAGAAAGACAATGCATGTGAAGAAATTCGGCTGTCTAATGTCGACAGCTCACAGTCAGTGCTCTCCATCGCACTAGAACCAGTACCAGAACCAGAGTCAGAGACAGAAACAGAACCAGAACCAGAACCAGAAGTAGAGCTAGAGCCAGAACTAGAATTTTTCGAGGCATGCGAAGAATTTTGACTGTCTAATGCCGACATCCGGCTGTCAACAATAGGGCTTTCCTTGGGAGGTTGTCCGGTTTTTCTCTTAGTGGCTGTACTCAGGTTGTCTTTAGTCAGTTGCTTCCTGGTTTGGTCGGTCTTGTCAGGTTGCTGCTATGGCCATTTTTCCTCTCTGTTCTTGTTTCTATGTTGCTAATGAATTGATCTTTTCAAAATAGGAAAAAAAATCAAAGACTTGCTAATGAATTGATCTTTTATTTGGAACGGGATGGAGGGTGAGGGGGGAGGGGGTGTTTAAAGCATAATATTGTATGTGAGATATGGGAATAGTGCTGTTTAATTTCTTCCCTCAATTTCTCTTGTAACTCTATCAATAAATTTTATACTGTGAAGCCTCTCCACAAAATAATGTGACATGTATCTAGTTACCTTCTAAAAAAAAGCAGTATATATATATATATTCCCTCTGTTTGTATTAATCTAGCTATTGAATCACCTTAATTTAGTATCTTAGGCTATGTTTAGTTGTGGTGCAAACCTCGATTTGATACATTTGTACTCGGTTCCAATTTGCAACTGCTTGAGTTTAGTTTTTACCCCATATAGCATTACAAAATGGTACTTTTATACTCCTTTTGCACCTCCTTGTTGTGTAAATTTTACCTCTAAAAGGTTCATATAAAATTGCATTGGTTAAAGAAGAGCTAAAGCAGGGCAAACAATTATATCATGTTGATTTGAGGACTACCACTGTTTTCATTTTCAATTAATCTAACAGCCGGAAACACCATTAAAGTCGGCTTTGACATCACTGAGCTAGTTATAAAGTTCCATTCCTTTATTTTTATTTTTTTGCGGGGGGGGAGGGGGGGTTCTTTTTTTAGTCCATAGTGTAGATCCATGCCTATACTTTGTTCTTCCTCTGATTAAGATTTGTCATCAAGACCTTCTTTCCCATTGGTAAATTCTGAATTTTCTGCAATTTTTGTAAATTTTTCTGCAATTTCTGATGATTTTTTTTGTTTCTTTTTCTTAATGATTTTTTTCTTTTACTTGTTAAAAAAAGAGTAAATATTGGTCACTGAGCTATGAAGTGTGTTACATATTTTGACTTTTCTGTTCTGACTTGTAAATTCTAGGTCCACTGGAACTTGCTACTGTGGGAGTTTCTATTGCTCTGTTTAATCAAGTATCAAGGATTGCAATATTCCCACTTGTTAGTGTCGCAACTTCTTTTGTTGCGGAGGAAGATACTATTGGAAGAGTAAGCACTGAAGATGTAGAAAGTGAAAATATGGATAAGGGTTTAGCTATACAGAGTGAGATGAAAGAGTTGATTCAACATTCTGGTATGTTATTTTGTTGATTCAGGGGCTGTATGAATTGCTTTAGCAAAACGCATTTCAACACAATAGAGTTCTGTTTGGTATGTCCAAGTGTGAGAATGGGAAGAGACATATTCCATCAGCGTCATTTGCATGGTTATTGGGGGGATACCTGGTCTTCTCCAAGCCATATTCCTAATTTCTGGAGCAAAACCTCTCTTGAACTTCATGGGTGTAAATTCTGTAAGTATCTTCATTAAGACCATTTGGTTAAACTTACTTCATTATTTAATTGCTTATTGCTTGGCTGCTTGCTTCACATAAAAGGAGCCAAGGATGTATTCTTTCCTGTAATTTTAAAAATTCAAAACAAGATTCCACCATGCTTAAGTTTAGAATCTGGGGGTTATGTGATTGTATTTGTCTTATGTTAGAAGAACTGTATCTAACTTGCCAAGTGATCTTATGGATTCTTCCTGTCAACATAAAGCAGTATTTCTATAATGTTTTCTCTTAAACCCCTAAGTTTATTCTAGGTAGAGATTTGCTAGCATTAAATTTTATTATAATAACAAAAGAAGGATGAAACACCTAATGGGTTGGGGGGAAGGGGACCAGACAGTATCACTACCCCTGATTGATTTCAGGTTGGTTCTGACCTGTTGATTGAAGATTGATGGAGGAAGGTTTGGGTTGTTGCGGAAGGCAAAGCGGCGCTGTGGAACAGCTACTCCAAGGTTGAAGATGAAGAGCTGGCTAAGGGGCTTATGTTTGGCCTTGGGGATTTTGCAGGTGGTACACAGCAGATGTTGGTTCTGTCCCCCAATTAGTGTGCATCATATTTACCAATAACACATCCTCTGATCTATTTGTCACATATTGCTTTTCCACATTATTTAGATTAGTGTTTAGCATATGTTAGATCTCTTTTACTAGCTAATGTTTTTCAGCTGCTACCAAGAACAAATTTGTGACTATGTCATGCTTGAATTTAGACTTTCCCATTCTAATATTCTTTAATCTAACAGAATTGTGGTCTCAGAAATCAAATTCAGGTTTGGATTAGTAATACTCACTTGTTACAGCTGCTTTTTGCAGGGATAGGGAGCCATGTGGACATAGGTGCTAATACATGCACTGATAGGGGCAGGTGATATGCTTATTATCTTTAAATGTTCTGATAAATTTGGAAGCTATCTGATGTCTCTTTTTCCAATAGCATTTAGAAACTGAGGACTGCAAAAATTTGGTTCTCTAAATCATCTTGGTCATGCAGTTGGAGGGATACAGTTATAGGAGACCATTCTAAGATAGACAATTTAGTTCAGGTTGGTTGCTTCCCTATTAAATGAACCATTATTTAGTTTAGCTTGGGATTTGTAAATACTATCATGCTTTAACATGTAGATAGGTCACAATGTAGTGATTGGAAAGTACTGCATTCTTTGTGGACAAGTTGGGATTGCAGGCTCAGTGACGTATGTTAACTTCTAAGCATGTTTACATTTGAAAGATTGAGTATACCGACCATATGATTTACCTAACAGTTTAAGAACTTGATGAAGTTAATGAGATCCTGTTGGAATTCAACATCTTCATTTGTTGTTGTTGGTTTCTGGGATGGGAGACCATGCCACTTTGGGGGGAAAGGTGTTAGCTTGATTACAAGATCAAGATATTAGCAACATAGAAAAATAAAAAGGATATTAAACAACATGGAATAAAAGCTGTCTTTATTTTTGTAGCTTGATTTAAATATACCCTTCCAAGAGAGGACAATTTACTGGGGTTGTTCACAAGTAAGAAGCAATAAGCTGGCTATACAGAAACTCTTTCAAGTGATTTGGCTTTAATCTGGTTCTTGGCCTTCTCTTTCAGCAAAAGCTATTTAGAATGACACAATCAAATGGCTAAAACAGCTGTTTGTAAGCAAAACGCTGAACTAGTGACTATTAAATATAAGACCTAATAGTACCTTGGAAGGTCATTTTGGCTTCAATCTTGCTAATTGGATTACTTATTAGCCAGGTTTATAAGCCTACACTACTGAAATGTGGAACAAACTATATTTAGATAGCCTTCTATAGGTCTTTGCTGTTATACATGTATGGAGTTGGTTATCTGGATAACCTTTTCTTTGTTTTCATTCCTTTTTCTACTTTACCCCTCTTTGTATACATGTAGCCTGGTTGAAATGCATCTTTCAGGAGAAAGATAAGCCACTACTGGACCCATCACTCTTTTGTTGTAAGGTGAAGGATATTAGAATAAAACAGCAATACCATTAACTATTGACCTTTGAGTGCCTCTTAGATGTCCACCATCAAGTGCTGGTAATATCCTCATCTACATTTAGGTGAAGTTGATGAAATGATCATGCATTGTCCCATGCATATGTCAACGATGCTACATGTTCCAATAGATTGGGTTTTCTAACTATTTTCCAGTATGCTGGTGTTCATATCTTAGTGGTTAATATCAAGGTGCTTAGCTATTTCTGAGTCTGCATTGTCAAGTTGGAGGACCCTTTCAATAATTAGTTTATTTGATTCGTTTGAATATAGGTCCGTCTTGCAGCTAATAGCTGTGTTACCAAAGACATTACTGAACCAGGAGACTATGGTGGTTTTTCTTTGGTAAGGATTATTTGATAACGTTTGATTTGTTTATCTTGTTGTACCAAAAGAAAAAGTTTTGTTAATCTATAGATGCTTAGAGAGCTTACTGAGTTACAAGAATCTGGTTTTGGGTGTCTCTATAGGTGCCTATCAATGAATGGCGGAGACAAGTTGCTACCCATCGTTGGATATTGAAGGGCATTGTTGACTTGCTTCCATGCAATATATCGATGAGGTCATGTGGGTCCTCTACGGATGACAACGTGAACATATGTGTCCACGGCTATTTACCAGAGATTGAGGGAAATTTTCATCATTTTAGGCAATGTTTTCACGAATCCATGTTTATTCTGCAGCACAACTTATAAGGCAAAGTAGAAGATTGCTAAAGCAAACTAAAAAGATTGATGTTTTGCTGGGTTTGAATCTCTTTTTGGCAATACTATATATATTGATGGGAAAGACTGATGTATTGAGTGGCTTTTTAGTGACACCAATCAGGCCACCCCTATATTGATTTTTGTACTTTTTTATGTTAATTGGATATTGTATTTAAGCAAATTTTTCTGGATATTATAATAATTAATAATTTAATTAAGAGTTTTTTCATTTAAATTGATTTTTTACACATTACCTATCATGATATTTGTATTAAACAGGTGCCAAAAAATGTTGAAATCAAATTCACATAAATAATAAAAATTAAAAAAAATCAAAGTTGGCGATGGTCCTGAATGCCACCTAAAAACGAAAGGAACATGCCAATGGACCACCTAAAAACGGAAGCAACATTTTGACGGACCTAAGACGGTGGTCCAAAGAGCTCCTAAGCCAGTGGTCCTGACTGCCACCTAAAAACAGAAGCAACATTTTGACGGACCTAAGACGGCGGTCCTGACATCCACCTTTATTAACTTTGAGCTAGCGGTTATGACATATCATTGGCTTAGGGATGATTGAACCACGTCGGACCGATAGTCAAAGGCAGCGGTCTTTTGTATCTAAGTTGGTGGTCTTGACCTAGGCCGGCAATGGTTTAGGGGGCGGACTCATGACCGCCACCTTACTTGTAAGGCAGCGGTCTTTTCTATCTAAGTTGGCGGTCTTGACCTAGGCCAGTAGTGGTTTAGGGGGTGCACTCATGACTGCCGCCTTACCTCTAAGGCAGGGCTGTTTAAAGGTCAAAGGCAGTGGTCCTCCGACCGTCGACTTTGACCGTTTTTCTTGTACTGATATTTCCATTTTCTCTACCAATCGAAAAAAGCAATTGTAGAATTTGCAAGCAAATCCATGTAAAATTTATAAATGTGAACTCTTGCAATTGTTCATGACTTTATTACAATCCATCACTCACTCCCATATTTAGGTGTTTTATTTTGGCATTGCTTATTGCATTTTAATGTATAGTTTGATATATATTTATTTTCCTTATTTTTCAGATTGAACCAATACAAGAGTCAAAAAGGGCATGATTAAAGATTATATATATTATATATATTGGAGATCAATATTTTAGACTTTTTTTATTTATATTATACGTAAAAAGAAATTGATATTTTTTTATAACATTAATGTATGGAACTCACATTTTAACATATATTTACCTTTAATTAAAATATTAATTTTTGTTACAATTTTATTTGCAATTTTTCTGTGACATTAAAATTGAGCAGGTTCCTATATAATTATGCTACACATGTGGGACACATAAGGTGGTTAAAATACTATCGATTAGCAGCAAATATATCCACCATTATATATTCAAACAAAGATCTATAGCGGTGGACATATCTACCACCAAGGTTCAAAGTATTTTGGGAGCTGGAGTTCTCCGATACACCCCTAGAGGGGGTGTATCAAGGTTCTAACCAGTTCAGGGGGTGGAAGAGCCTTAAACCGCCACCCTGAACTGATTTTGAAAAAGAAAATAAAAAAATGGATCAAAAGGTTATCGATATTGCCGATATGCCCATACTGGCATATCAGATATATCAATATTTTGAACCTTGTTTACCGCTACATATTAAAGTGTGGATCTATAGTGGCAGATATATTTGTTGCTAATTTATTTACACTTCTTTTTAGCGACCGCCACTATATAGGAAAAAATACATATCTATTGCAGTGGATATAAGTATTTGTGACAATTAGGCAATCTTTTAGTGGCGGATATGTATGCTGCAAAACAAATTTATATGCCGCTTTTGATGACATATTGTCATGGGGGTAATCGTTGGGGCCCCGTGCGGCACTCGAAATGGGCGAATAAGCCTACGAAACAAAGCAAACACACACAAAAGGCAACAAGATGGCACACGAATTAGCAAAAGGCTGTATGTATTGCATTAATCAGTGGTAAGCACAAACACACAGTACAGTGTCGAGGGGATCTCGTGCTTAACCTTTACACGCTTATGAGCTCACTTGACTACCTACCTCCCCTCAAAGAGTACGTTAAGCTTTTGGGGGAGTGACAATAAGAAACATCAAAAAGGTGAAAAAGCATATTATAGTATTACAATAATGCCATTGGCAATCCCCCATACAAAAGTACAAGCATAGCCCACCCATGACACACACTTGGACGCTGGAGTGGCGGCTGGAGGCACGGTGGTTGGCACTTGATGGCGCGGCGAAAAGAACACTTGTTACAATATAACAACGGTTTTATATCCGCCACTATAACCTATAGCTATGTGACATACAACGGCAAAAAGCAATCTGTTGGGGATCCACTGTTATAAAACAAGTTTTGTTGTAGTGCTTGCACTATACATATTTGTATCCATACTCTTACCAAATTGAACCTTAGAGAAAAAATAAAACAAAATTAAATGATCCCAATTTAGGTATTTAATTGTGAAATTGGAATCTCTCGAATGGCTTAAGATATTATTAGCAATCTTTTTTTCTTTCTTCTTGTGGTTGCATGGGGCAAGAGAGTGGCCCATTTCCAAAATCCAATCAGTGGACTCATCTGATCTGTATCCAATCCAATTGTTTCAGATTTGATGTTAACCCATTTGGTTAAAATTCAAATCCAATTAAAATTTATTACAACCATATAGGTAATAAAATATTGTCTATTGATAGATATTCTATATAATTATAAGAAAATTATAATTGATAAATTTCAATTTTTTATATTTATATAATTTCATTATATATATAATGTAAATACAAAATTTTAATTTTTAAAATTTAAAAGTTTTTAAAGACAATCCGACCTTATCATAGTGCTGCTCATAGGAGAAGAGGAGCTTCACCGTGGAACGGTGTCAAATCATCAACGAGGAAGTCCAGAAGTTGTTCGACGTGCATCATCCAAGAAGTAAAGTACCCAAACTGGTTAGCCAATGTCATCATGGCGAAGAAAGCGAATGGGAAGTGGAGGATCTGCATTGACTTCACGGACCTAAACCAAGCCTGTCCCAAGGACAGCTTCCCCCTACTGAGGATAGACCAGTTCGTCGACGCAACGGTGGGGCACAAACTCCTAAGCTTTATGGATGCATTCTTAGGATACAATCAGATTCAAATGCATCCTGATGACCAGGAGAAGACCGCTTTCATCACCGATTGTGGACTATACTACTATAAGGCAATGCCCTTTAGCCTTAAGAATGCTGGCGTTATTTATCAGTGGCTGGTAAATGAGGTATTCAAGGACCAGCTTGGCCACAATTTTGAAGCGTACGTCGATGACATGCTCATGAAGAGCAAGAAGGCCGACCACAACCTGGCTGACCTCAAGGAATTCTTCGGCACACTTAGAAATTATCAAATAAAGTTGAATCCGACCAAGTGTGCTTTCGGGATCGGTTCCGGTAAATTTCTATGGTTCATGGTCACTCAATGAGGAATCGAAGCCGATCTAGAAAAATCCAAGCCATCCCCGATATGCAATCACCTCGAACATACAAGTAAGTGCAACACCTTACTGGGCGGGTGGCCGCCCTTAGCGCAGTACTTACAGGATGTCCTTTCCATGCAGCAAGGCTCGTCTTGAATGGATCCCATAGCACAGTACTTACAAGATGCCCAGTATTGCCTCATCCAGGAAAAACTCTATCGCCAGTCTTACACTCTCCCCTTCCTGAAATGCCTCTCCCCTTCTGAGGCCGATTACGTTCTCAAGGAGATAAACGAAGGAATCTGCAGAAATCATCCCAACACCCGAACCCTGGCTCACGAAGCACTCTGCCAAGGATACTACTAGCCAACCATGAAGTAGGATGTCGTCCAACTTGTCAAAAAATGTGACCGATGTCAAAGGCACTCCAACCTTCATCATCAGCCAGCGATCCCCCTGAATTCGATCACCAGCCCATGGCCCTTCGCACAGTGGGGAATGGACATCCTCGGCCCCTTTCCTGCCACGATCGGGCAAAAACGGTTCCTTTTGGTCATCGTAGATTACTTCACTAAGTGGGTGGACGTCGAACCTTGGCATGTATCACCGCACATAATGCCTAAAACTTCTTCTGGCAAGGTGTTGTTTACCGCTTCGGTATCCCACGGGTTCTCATCACCGACAATGGCACGTTGTTCACTAACTGGAAGTTCAAAGCGCTCTGCACCGACCTTAAGATTGACCATCGGACTACAGCTATCCACCGACCCCAAAGCATTGGGCAGACCGAAGTGATTAACCGACCCCTACTGTATGGCCTAAAGACTATGCTTAACCAAACTAAGGGAAGGTGGGTCAAGGAATTGCCGAGCATTCTTTGGGCATACAGAACCACACCATGAACAACCATGGGAGAGACACCCTTCAACCAAACCTATGGGGCTAAGGCCATGATACCTGTAGAAATGGACTCACCAACTCTTTGAGCTAAGTTCTATGATGAAGAGCAGAACAATGAAGACCTCTGCGTAGAACTCGATTTGGTAGAAGAAGCACGGGACCAAATTAATTGCTCTCTTTGTTGTTAATGTGTTAATGTGTTAGGGTTTTTCATTTTTTTTTAATTGCTCTCTTTGCTGAATTAATTTGTTTTATTATTTTATTGTTGAATTGCATATTAGAGATAACTATTCATGCATTGTAATTAATTGCATTTATTTTATTTATTGTGTTTTTTCATTAATCCATTTAAGAGCAATCCAATTTAAATAAGATAAGGTGGGGATTTCATCACCCTTGGCCCAAAAACCACCACCATTTCACGTGCAGTTCACCCTAAACCTTAATTTAAAAATTGGATAATAAAATCATTTTAGAAGCCCCACACATTTGGTTCAAAAGTGTGCTGAATTTTAGGGAAGCTTGTAATTACTACCGGTGATTAGTGTTTAAGGAAAGAGGCTAACCGGCTAAGCCTAAACGGGTTTTGTGGTTACTTAATTAAGTTCTTGCGAGAACAAGAGGAGTCTTCCACATCCCCACCTCTTACCTGGCTAACCAAAGGAAGTGGTGTAATTCTAAGTAAACCAAAGGGGATTCACATTGGTTGAACCACTAGTTTAAGAAACCTTAGTTTAGCCCCTAGGTCGTGTGTTTTACT